CAGACTTGTTGGCTGATCTGTGGGTGGCCTCCAGCTACCTGCAGGCTGGGCACTGCCTGTGGGGGGGCCTGGTGCTGCTGCTGCTGGGCCTCTCCTCCCTGGCTGTGCAGTTCTTCAGCTGGGCCTGGTTCCACACAGACCCCGGGGAGCAGGACCTGCCCAGTGACCGCTGCCGGGACGTGCTGCACCTCCTCCAGCTGGGCTACCTCTACAGGTAAGGGGGCCCCTCTGCTGAGCTCTTGCAGCCCAGGCGAGTTCTGCTGGTGACAGAGCCGGTGCCTCCGGGGGTGGAATCTGCCCCCGTGGGAGCATCCTCACGAGGTGCTGCAGCTGCCCCTGCGCCGATGCAGCACTCGGGTAGCTGGGCCCTCGCGTGCGCTGCTGCAGCAGTGTCAGTCCAGGGCGGGTCCAGCAAATCACCCAGCGCAGACATGGCTGCACACGGGAGCGTTAGCCAGGCAGGGGGACTGGTGCAAGCGTCAGGAGCCATTGCTGGGTAGCTGTGCTGTCAGCAAACCTGTCTGCTGGGACTAGGCCGACGTGAGCCACGCTCAGCTCCCGTGAGCCCAGGGCTGGCTGCTCTGGTGTGGTCCAGTGGTGATTCAGCTAACCGGGCTGTTTGCTGGGGCTGAGGAGCCCGAAGCTGCCCTACCCCTCTTATCCATTCCAGCTATTTCCCCTAAAATACGCCCCCTTGGCCGGCTGGCTTTGCCCTGCTGGGAGTAGTCGTGCTGGGAGTGCTAGTGTAGACGGGACTCGGAGGACCCCTTCCTGCCTGTCGGGAGATAAACACGGGAAGACGTTGCCTGTGGGATCTCCCTCTCTGGGGATATTGAAGAGCAGGTTGGACGCCTGGCAGGGTTGGTCTCCATGGTGCCGCGAGGGCAGGGACGGGACTCGCTGCCTCTTGAGGTCTCTTCCAGCCCTGGTGCTCTAGGATTCTGTGATTCTTTTGCCTAGGCCTGTGGCTGCCCCCGTAGACTCAGTGCTGTGGCCGGAGGCTGCAGGCAGGTCAGTGCTGCACTGAGCTCACGTGGCCCTGTCCCTCCCCAGCACCGTGTCTGGCAGCACCTTGGGGAGCGTTTTGTTCATTCTCTGCCCAGGGCTCGGACGCACATGGCTGAGGGGCCCAGGGCCAGGCTGCCACCTGGGTGGGAAAAGCAGACGTCACTTCTGCATTGGAACTGAGTTGGTTAATCGCCTTTGCTGGTCGCCATGTCAGCCGATTGCCTGGGGTGCACTTTGCTCAGCTGGGACTAGAAAGTAACATGCCACTTTCGCTCTTGGTTCTGGGCCAGGGCCAGCGGATTTGAGGTGCCCTGTGCTCTAGCGCCAGGGTCTCAAACACGTAGGGAACGTGAAATCCAGAGCAAAAGTCGTTTTCGTTGAAACTGGGGGGGAAATGACCCCTGGATTTCTCCCTCCTGATGGATTATACCCCAAACCTGGGCGGGGGAGAAGTGATTTGACAAGAGAGAGATCTCACCCTGTGGTGAGCCCTGGCATTAGCAGGCGCTCGGTAGGGCCCGTGTCAGGAGAGCTGGCTGGTCATGTGGGGAGCTGCCAGGGACAGGCAGGTAAATGGGATCTCCCTGGACCTGAGAGACTAGACCAAGCAGGCTGTGGGGGGCAGGCTGGCTCTGGAATCCCCCCGCCCCCGTGACAGATGGACGGACGGCACTGTGTCTGTGTGGCCTGGCGCGGAGCCTCCTCACGGCAAGGCTGCGATGTCTGCGCAGGTGTCTCCACGTGTTGAGAGTGGGCTGGCGCGTGTGCCGGCAGGAGGCTGCCCCGAAGGAGCGACACTACGCTGTCTTCCTGTCCCACGACATCAGCATGCTGCGCCTCTTCGAGACCTTCCTGGAGAGCGCGCCCCAGCTCACGCTCGCTGTGGCCATCGTTCTGCACACCAACAAGCTGGAGCCGTTCCAGGGTGAGTGGCGCAGCCCCGGCGGCGGGGGCAGGGCAGCAGGATGAGGGAACAATCCCTGGAGCTCCTGCAGCTCCGGGTTCTGAAGGATACAAGAGCCGGGCCTAGTTCTGGAGCCCGGCGGTGGCAGCGGGGCCTGCAGCCTGCCCTCAGCTCTGTGCTAGTGGCCCCAGCCCTGAGCCTTAGCTCAGAGCTGGGTGGTGAGGCTCCGCTCTGCACCCGGGCCAGCCCCTGCAGGGTGTGCTGCAGGGAGGGTCTTGCTGAGGAAAGCCTGGTTGCAGGTACTGAGGTGCCCTCTGGGCTGCTTCCCAGCACCTTTGAGAAGAGGGGCAGGGCTGGGATGTGGGGGGCAGGGAAAATCACCCAGACCCAGGGCTGG